AATGGAAAATTTTAATATTTGAAAATTTGACAATTTTAATATTGAAAATTTGGCAGTTTTATTATTTAAAAATTGGAATATTTGAAAATTGTAATACTTGGAATTTTAGAATAAGTAAAGAATTAAGTACATTTTATTTCGTCTTCATTCCCGCCAACATCGACTAATTTCAGTTTAAACTAGTCCTATCGTTAAATTAACGAATTCAATTTTAATACCGATACAGCGTATTTCGATTACACGAAATTGATAATCATTTGTGGTCCAGCATTGGCTAAATTTGATTAAAGATAGTAATATGGGCCACTAAATTTTAGGTACTAAGTGCTTAGCAAGTCTAGGGACTGTCACTGCTATTAGACACCAAACTCTAAGCGCTAACAAATAAGTTTGAACTGAATCTAGGTCAGTATGTCGTAACATAAACTCGTAGAAAGGAAGAATAAGCTTCTAAGGAAGAAGCACATTAAGCAAACGTGAACTTTTAATTTTCTTCGCGTTACTAAAAGTGTTCCAACATTTTCAGGCTTTTAATTTCACCATTAAACGGTTTAACCAGTAATATCAGAAATTAGCCAAGCCATTTCTAAGATTAAAAAGGAACAAGTCATTATTAATATCAATCGTACCGAATCTCCCACTATTTTATTAAAAAAAAAAAAAAAGAAAATAAACAGAGAACACCTCGTAAATGCCAAATAAGCCATTTTGGAGAATCCATAACTTCTAAGGACATCTAAGACTAGAACCTGAAATATCTTCGAAACTGTCCTTATTCCCTTTCTTTGCATTTTACCCGAAAACATGGTCACATATTTTTTCCCTAAATAACCTCTTTCAATAATCCAAGTGATCCTCTGTAATCCAAGGTTGAATAGAACATATGTACATTTACCGAAACTTGTTTCATTATTTTCAAGTAGGCACCAAATCCATTTCTGAAGTGGACGCCCGGATATTACGCGGGACATCCCGCATCGAAACAGTATGTATTATAAAATACCGCGAATCTTCGATCAGAGTTGATACGGTTTCTCAGAAAACGGTATCTTTAACGTGTACACACGTAAGTTTCTATCCCGGACGATCAATGGCTTACCTGAACCAGGCCATGGAAAATATCGTCGAGGATACCGGGCTCCTGAGTTAAGGATCTCGTGGTAAGCCTCTTACGGCGTCTCTTGTGCATCGTCAGGAATCGACCGGTGGGCCTGGGCCTCGAGTGTCCGATATCCAAACTCTCGAGCAGGATTCGGTCCACTCCTGACAAACGTCTGAATGCGGCGGTGTCCGTTGCAGGTTCATCGTGGACTTCCGTCAATGTCGCTGTTACACCGGACGTTGGTAACGCGGCGTTTTCTGGAAAATAATTTAAACGAAATTTTCATTTTTATTATGTAGACATTTTGGGACGGTTTATGGCATGGCCTGCGCCTCTTGGCGAGTGACAAACACCAGACCCGAGTATATATCTTTGCCATTCGACGAGAGTCGGTTCTTAGCTTCGGTAATAGACGGACGCCGATGAGTCCGAAATAAACTACTTTGCACGACATCCTGATTTGAGTAAAGTTCATTAGACCACCTCCTCCAATTAAGACGTTATTACAACGATGGAAATTTTGTGTTGGCAATAGAGTGGAGCAAGAGTCGGTTCTTAGCTTCGGTAATAGACGGACGCCGATGAGTCCGAAATAAACTACTTTGCACGACATCCTGATTTGAGTAAAGTTCATTAGACCACCTCCTACAATTAAGACGTTATTACAACGATGGAAATTTTGTGTTGGCAATAGAGTGGAGCGTCGATAACTCGAAAACCTCTATGAGACGAAAATTTTCTTCATTATTTTACCTCAAATTCAGAGGAACTCCGACCTCTCTAAGTCGAAGTTAATTTCTATGTATCAGTCAATGGATCCAATAGGATCAACGGTTCAACGATCGTCAAATGTTTATTTCTTTATAAATAGAGCAGTGTAGTTCTTTATAGAGCTGTGAAAGATTGAAGGAATAAGTTAAAGCACAGTTCTATTATTTCTCATTCTTCTCTCCGGATTATATGTGACAAAATGAATTCTAAACGCAAGCGGAAAATATTAATATTGGTTGATAAAGTAAACATAATTCGAAACGGTATAAACTGGATGAAGAAAGAAAAAGGATATCGCTAACGACCTCTCCTACTCGAAAATTCGATAATTCGAAGCCTCTGTAACTCGAAGATTTTTTCTCTTCCCTTGAGGTCCGAGTTATGGAGGTTCCACTGTAATAGTAATCATTGTTATTACATTGTCAAGGAAGAAATCATTTTTGTGAAATTATTAGAGTACAGATTTAAGGCATTCAACGCCCGGAGGAACCCTTAGCGCTCACATTTTTCTCAACTTGATGTGCCGAAAATGATCAAACTTATTTTTTATTTTCTATTATTTCCTAGGCGTGCAGAAGTAAATTTCTCATTCATCTATAATGCTGTGACTTACAATACATTTTTGCAATAGAATAAAAAGGATAGCGCCATATGAACGGTGAAAAAGTTATGCACGTGTAAGAGCGGACATCAGCGTTAACCCTCATCCGTTCCTCGTGTCAATTTGTAGGAAAAATTTTTTGTTTATTTTCTATATTTGATAAAAGAATTTACAAAATTAATCATTTATCTTTTCATTTAATTGATTTTTTACCATTGTGTCAAATTAACACCGACGGACTTATTAAGATGCGAAACTGATGGACGGATGAGGGTTAAGGGGTCAACGAACTCCAGTGGTGGATACAATGTTGCTGCTGTTCGCGAGCAGCTCGCGAACTATTCGCGAACAATTCCGGCCAGTGTGGACTTGGACTAAGAATCTGTTGTAAAATATCGTCACGCTTGGTAATCAGCTGTTTCGAGTGTGTACACACCGAGGCATCGAGGCCAGACATACCGAGCCGTCTATAAACGTCCGAACCACGTGCGCGGACCAAGTCTGATCTATGCATGTACGCGCGGACACATTCGAATTAATTAGCCGTGTGCACCAGACACACGGAAATGCATTGGTGCATTGTAATTTTAACCGTGGCGCCGCTATTTTCAGACATCGTCGATTACGATCGTCTATAAACAACAACGGTAATAATAACGGATCGTGCTTGTTGGCAGCGATTGTCAGTTCAGATAGACCGAGGGATTTCGTTGCTCGCGCGATTGTGCAACGAATCTAATCGCGAGTGACTGTACTATTAAGCATTTTATGCTGCACCAAGACATGGATCACCCTTTCTTTTATTCCTGAGGAGACTTATAGATTCGCTTAGAACCAGGGCTGTATTTACCATCAGGAGCAAGTTGAGGCCTCACTCGGGCATTTTGTGCTGCACCAAGATTTGGAAGATCTTCTTTTTATCGTGAAGAGACTTATAGATTCGCTTAGAACCAGGCGCGAAACAATTTGCAGCACGAGGAGGATAACGCACAGTTGAAAAACGTGTGTTCGCTGCGTAAAGGAAACGGAAGGAAAAGGAAGAAAATGTGGAGGAGAGTTTTCTCCGGCAATTATGTCTTTGCGTAACGACGCCTTGTCTGGAAAGCATTGTCAAGCGGCACAGTTGCAATACGCTGCTGAAACGCGCGCATCTTGCCTCGCTAATAATTTCTGTTACACAATTTCTAGGGTACCGCTCTCGGTTGTGACATTGTGTTATTCGACATTATGACACGCGCACGACAACGTGTGATTGTACCGCGACGGTTTTTCTTTTCATGCAAATGTGCTCGCGAGTGACACGAGCCACAGCGTTGTTTCACCGTGTGGAACACTTGAGAAGCGACATTTAGGTTTCCATTACGAATGTGCTTGCGCTTAACCGTGTCTCGTTATCGGGTGAAAGAGAAAAAAAAATTAGCGTGTGCCTATTGAAAGGTTCTTAAACGTCTTTACCATTTGTACGATACAATTGGTTGCAATTAGGTCGTCCTGAAAGCTAATTTTGAAAAGAAAACGTAACACCAGTGAAATTAAACAGTTGTCTTTAAAATAATTTCCATAACACTCGATACCAGCAGACAAGAAACTTTTTTTTCCATGATATTCCCCTTAGAAAATCATTTAACCCTTTCGCTACGGCAGACTTCAATCGCGGTCGCGAAATCTTTTGTTTCCGTCGCATCGTTTTAAGATTTATTCGATCGGACTAAGGTGGAAGTGTGCGAAGAACGAAAATTAAGGATTAACTCTTTGCGCTCGAAAGGCGACTGAGAAGCGACATTACTATTTATCACTTGGTAAATAATTAATGGAGGTACTCTTAAAGTTGATACTTTCTAGGGCAGCAGGTCTATGGGCCTCCGTAGAACTGTTCACCATATTTTAGGGGTCTTAACCTCTAATGAACTGTGTTACAAAGTCTTGTATAGTATAAAAATACGTTAAATCTTAAACTGTCAATTTCTACATTAGTTTTACAAAATTTCACCAATGTAACAAACAAGCTCTAATATGCTACTTCCCTATAGCAAGAAGACCTTCGAGTGCGAAGGGTTAGATTAGGGTGAAAGTGTACGAAAAGGCGTTAACAGCACAGTGCGAGCAGAATAAGCGCTAAGAACACTGTATTCTTCGAAATTTTCCAAACGTCTAGAACAGGGGTCGGGAACCTTTCGGAGCCGAAGAGCCATTTCAACAAAATAACGTACAAAAAATAAAATTCAGAGAGCCGCAATTTTAATTTAAGTAAAAATTTTAAATTTAAGAATCGCGTCGAAACATTTACTTTACCGATGCATTATAGTTATTTTTTTGGGGGCTAACTGTCGGTTCTGTGGTGGCAACAGCAGATTTTTATTAAACATTTAAGAGCCGCAGGTTCCCGACACCTGGTCTAGAAGCACCAACAGCAGTGAAAGGGTTCTGTGGTGGCAACAGCAGATTTTTATTAAACATTTAAGAGCCGCAGGTTCCCGACCCCTGGTCTAGAAGCACCAACAGCAGTGAAAAGGTTAAATCGTGCCATTTCTCATATTTAAATGGCCTCCTTCAGCTGGGACACCCTGTACACAAAGCACCGATATTGTAACTCTTTCCGTCGCCTAGAAGAGAAACGATGAAATAGGGTGAAAAAAATCGACCGTCCAAACCCGGTTGAATTTCATGCTCGATGGCAAGAAAATTGCAACACCGGATGCAAGGCCGATTCGTTGTCAATTCGATCGTCGCACGCTATCCTCTTCTTTTTATGGATAATTGTATGCAACGTACGCAATTACGGACGAATGCTTGAATCGCTTCGAGTCACCAATAATGAGGTTGAAATTCATTAACGACATTTCCATAGTTAAGCATCACACGCTTACGATCTACACCTTTCGAACGGTTCACCGTGAACGCACACTGGGTGTCGGTAAAAGAAAAGGAACAAGTTCGTAATGTCATAGGAATCGATTAAAAGGAAGGAATTAATTAATACGACTCTGAAAGTGTACATTTTCCGATTGAAAAGTTTCAGTGCTCTTTGTTCGTATATCTTTTAGAAATTTCTTTTAATGATATAAATCTTTTATCGATTCATGTGTAGGGTGGGCTACGTGAAACAGGCTATTATCTTCTGTAGGTATGGTGGTAAGGGAAATATTTTTATACGTAATTTCAATGGTTTCAAAGGTGAAACTTTTTTTCAATATCACCTGTTTTTTATATGAATGTATATGTTTTCTGTTGTATGTTGTAACAGACATTGATGTGCATTTAAACATGCATAATAATAGGACCTTAGGGTTACCTTGGGTTTTAAAATTTTCAATCAAATGTGAAACTTTCTTTCATTTTTTGCCATTTCTTCAGTCAAACAAATTTTTTCTTCCACCTTATTCACCCTTTGAAGTCATTTAAATTACGTATGCAAATTTTCTTGTACTACCATAGCTATAGAAGATAATTAAGTGGCTAAAAGCGTTACTTTTTTCAAAAAATTAAGAATGCTAGGATCAAATTTTGAAAGAAATGTTTCTCGCCAAGTCAATTCTTTACCTCCACAATGTAGAATATCAAAAACCACATAACTTTGAGTGTAACATTTTTTTCATATCTTGTACGGTTTCATAAATATTCATAATAATATCAAAACCCACAATTTTTTCGAGGGGGTGTTTTCACCCCTAGGATAATTTCACCGCAGAAACAAAAGATGGTTTCGTTATTAGCGTCAATTGATCTACATTTCTGCAAAGTTTCAAATTTTTTTCAATTTTTATCTTCTAATTTACTCATTTATTCCTTGTTACATTTTTACCTACATTCGATAAAATTGATATTTAACTGGTTTAATCGGTAAATCTAATTTTTTTACCTGGAATCATCAAGTATTCCTTAGAT